CTGGGTTAAATCTCCATGAAAGCTCTTGATAGGAAAACTTTGATCGGAGTTTATCACGAATTTCATTTAATGCTTGCTTAAATTCCCTTTCTATCTCTCGAGATGCACCAACGAAGTTAGTGCCGTTGTCCGAGAAGATAGTCTTTGGACATCCACGACGAGATATAAATCTATTAAATGCAGCCAGGAAGGTAGTGGTAGATAAATCCGAGGCTAGCTATGTATTGCTTTCGTAGAAAAGCACACAAAGACACAAATATACCCCTTTGTAATTTTACAACATCTACCTGTAAAGGATTTAATGTCGAATGGGCCAGCGAAATCGATACCTGTAGAGGTGAAAGGCCTAAACAAAGGAGGCAGAGATGTCATAATTTGGGTACAAGTACGTTTCTTTGCTAAAACGCACAATTTGCAATGCCCTATGGTTGACCTAATCAGTGAAGTAGCGCGAGGAATTCAGCACTCCATACGAAGCATACGGAGCATTAATTGGTTTCCTCCATGAAGCGAATCTATATGAATTTGTTCCAACAACAGTCTTGCGAATTTACTATGATAAGGTAAGAGGATAGGATGCCGTTCAGAATAGTAGAGAGTCGGAGACTGCGATAGGCGGCCATTCAATCTCATTACCCCTTCTTTATCCAGAAATGGATTTAGAGATAAAATAGCACTTTTAGGATTAAGTGGTCGTTTATGAAGTAAGGCATAATATTCCTCTGAATAGTATGCCTTTTGAGCAAGCGCAGCAAGACGTTATTTTACTGCTAGTATCTCTGAATTGTTAGGAGCGGAACCCTCATAATGATGTTTACCTCTATAAAAAGAATGCGTGTTGTGGAAAAATCGAAAGATATATGCAATGGCACGAAATGCCCTATCTATGGAAGAAAATCTATTTAAAACATCATCATAGTCTTTGATAAAAGTGACATGACTTATAACAGGACGAAGTTCGATCTCAGTGTCAACAGAAACATTTTGAATTTCCCAGTTAGAACTATTAAGGCTTAGCCAATGAGGACCGTGCCACCAAATTTGAGAAGAGTCCAACTCCGAAGGAGAAAGCCCCCTGCTACCTAAATCAGCAGGATTGTCTTCGAACATGAAACCATTTATTTTGCCCAACATTCTCTTGAATGCGACATACCTTATTTGCAACGAAAGTAGACCATGTAGATGGAGTCTTTTGAAGCCAAGAAAGGACTATCGTAGAATCGGTTCAACAAAAGATATTATTAAAAGATATGTCAATTTCACTCAAAATACCCTTGACAAGTTCTGATGCTAATACAGCACCGCATAATTCTAAGCGAGGGAGGGAAATGGACTTAAGCGGAGCTACTTTTGTTTTGCAAGTCAGCAAATTTGTGACAATTTTCCCATTTGAAGCAACGACACGAATGTACGCTACTCCCGCGTATGCCTTTTCCGAGGCATCGGAATATGGAATTAACACCCTGATAGGACATCACAAAGTTTTCCCATTCTGTCGAAGACGGAAGCGAATCGTCCCAACCAATGTTGTCCAGCCAAATACGCTGCATGATGATTTTTGCTACAACAATTACTTGTCCTAAACATCCTACTGGATCGAAGAGCCTGGCGATGGTTGACAAAACTTCCAGTTTAGTATATTTGGACCGGTGTTCCAGCGGGTTAACACTGAAATAGAAATGGTCCAACTGTGCATTCCAACGAAATTCATTTTCTGTATCATCGGCCAATTGAAGAAAAGTAGCAAGATAAGGAGCACAGTTTACTCCGAAGGTTACCGTTTGAAGTTCAAAGTCTTGAACCGGTTTGTTGGGAGAATCCCGAAATAAAATTCGTTGGAGAGGAGTATGAGCAGAATCGACCCGAATCTGCCTGTACATTTGCGTTATGTTGCAATTGAATACATATTGGAAAAGTCTTCATCTTAGAATAAGAAGGACTAGGTCCAACTGAAGAGTTGGGCCGACATAGAGAATATCGTTAAGACTATTCTCGTTGGAAGTCCTGTTCGAGGCATTGAAAACCACTCGCAATTTTGTTGTTTGTTTATCCGGATTAATAACCGGATGGTGAGGAAGATAGCAAACTGTAGAGCTTGCTGACGAAGTCGAAACCAGTCTCATGTGGTCTAATTCTAAATATTCCCGGACCACGCCATCGTAAATGGTTTTTATTTGCGGTTTTCTTAGGAGTGAAGCCTCATTTCGAAAGAATTGTCGTAAGCAATTGGTCCTAGAATGATCAAGTTGGCCTGCGAATTCAGGAAGGATGGGAAGTGTGACAATATATCTGCATTCTGAGTCCCGTCGAGTCGTCTTTTTGAAATTTTCCTCACAGAATTTGTCCGAAGGAGACAAGATAGCGCGTTTTGGAGGTTCTTCCAATTCCCAGAATCGAAGAAGAGTCTTGTTAAGATCTTCTTCCGGAAAGTTGATAGTGGTTGTTAAAACCGTAATTGTAGAATTGGGAATGGGACCAGTAATGATCCAGCCGAAAACAGTTCTCTGTGCCATTAAAGAACCTAAGATGTGGGATTGAATTCCCTGTAAAAGGATTCTAGGATATAAATCAGCGCTTAGTAGAATGTCAACTGGTCTAGAATCGCAGAAGTTTCTATCCGCCAAACGAATATTTGGCAAGCGGGAAGTTTTGTCACCACCTATTGAAATGGAGGGTAAATTACCAGAAATAGCGGGAACCACTAGAGCTGGGATTTCAATGAAAATTGATGAGTCGATAGGAGAACCTATGCATAATGAGCACAATTTTCTGGATGTAGTGGAAACACTTTGATTAAGGCCAGAAATCGTAGCTTGGGTCGACGTAGTAGAAATACCAAGACGACGTTGCAAACTTTCAGTGATGAAAGACGCTTCAGAAGCTGGGTCGATTAGGGCACGAGCATGGTATGTGATGCCTTGGTGAATTAGATTCACCATTGCAGTACCCAAAACAACATTTTTGTTTTGCGAAATATGATACACTTGCCGATTGACAGAGTGGGATATACCTGACGAAGTCGAGGGAATATTTTGATTCGCATTGTTGGATTGGTTCGAAGTTGATGGCGACGGAGTCGCTGCTGGTGTAGAATTTGGGTGATTTGACGTCTCACGATGTAAAAGTGTGTGATGTCGCTTATTGCATTTCCCACAATTGTTTTGACTTACACATTTTTTAACTTCATGACCAACCGTCAGACAGTTCAGACAACAATTGAAGCGTTTTAGCACTGAAAAACGACCTTCTATGGATAATTTTTTGAACTCTGGACAAAAACGCAATGGATGAACCAATTTAGGACAAAGAACGCAATATTTAAAGGAAGAAGCGCACAGAAGGTACGGACTTTGTTAGATGAGTCCGCACTTTTTTCTCAACCTTTTTTGACGAGTCAATGCCACGAATGTCTCGGAGACAAGTAAGAGTCTGGATTCTTTCCGTAAGAAAACGATCCAAATCCTTCCAATCAGACAAAGCCGACTTGTCTTTGACGGTCTGCTCCCAAAGCGAGACCGTGTGCTCAGGCAATCTTTGAATGCATATGCATATGATCCCAGTCGTTCGTAGAAACGTCATGGATCGCCATATCCGAAATACATCTATTAAGTGCTCACTGTAGATGTTTTAAACCAGCACTGGATTCATTATCGAGAACTGGAAGACCAAAGAGCAATTTCAGTTGGTTGTTAATCAAACTTTGGACCAACGAAGGATTCGAAGTTTTTTGTAAAGCACGTAGTTGGTCCAATTTTCGATTGATTGAAGCAATGACGTTTACATATGCCCTATACGCAACGTCATATTTACTTTCTGCAGATGTGATGTCTTCGTTTTCAGCATCTTCAGAAGTTTGGAGATATGTATGACATTGGTCAAACATTTCCTTCACTTTACTCCACAATTCCCTTGCCTCAGCGAAGAGAAGTAAAGTTGGCTTCAAATTTTACCAGAGCATCAGTTGCTCTGATAAAGAAATCAAGTGGAGATAGTGGCATTGTGAATTAGAAAGCTCTATGAATTTGGCCAAAGAGAACAAGAAACGAATTTAAAAATCGCAAATCTGGAAATATCAGTGTAAACAAACTTAAAATTGTTAAAACTCAACGAAAATTGAGTGAAATTGTTCAAATTTATATTGAAACAGCACGAAAATGCTTTTATCTGTTAGTGATTGCTAACAAATACAACACCCAACTAGATAAAGAAACTCTTTTTTTTTAATTTAAAAAAAGTGATGAGAAAATGTAAATAAATTTTCTCGGTAAGGAAAATCGAAAAGATTTTCACTGTGTATCGAATAATACACTCTTGTTTTTATGGGTATTAAAAAAATATACTAAAAACTTGAAGAAGTATTTGCAAATTTGACAAAGTGTGTTTCGTTATGTGCGGAGAACTACACGATTTTTCTCTCAGTGTATCGAAAAACACAGAGAATTTGATTTGTGTATCGAAATATACACAACAGAATTATTTCCGAAAAGAAATAATTAAAAAAAAACCCAAACAAATCGCCAAAAATTGCAAAAAATCAAAAAAAAGTAATTTTGTTTAATATTTTTTACTGACTGTAGGGTGCACGGACCGTAAGATGCACGCTACAGCTCAAAACAATAATTATTTTTTTCCAAAAAGGTCAAAAAATTCAAATAAATATTTAAAAAATTAAAAATATTTAATTTATATTTTTATACTATATAATAATAACGAAAATTATTATTAAATATCGAAACGACCGAACGTAGGGTGCACTCTATACGGACCTGAACTATTTCCAACAGAACCGTATATTTCCAAAAAAAATAATTTAATTTTTGGTCCGAACGGACCTAATAAACAAATTTTCCAATTTTTGCCCGAACAGACCTATTACACCCTATTACAAATCAACCAACCACAGAGTACACAGCACTATTATGTGATTGTATTGTTGTTGTACTATTCAACAGTAATGTTGTTAGTGTTTATTTTGTCCTTCTTTATGTCAAAGATCACAAATAATTGTGGACTACGTGATCCATTTCAGCAGCTGCGGACTGGTTACAACATTGTCCTATGTAATGCAGCTATGGACCATGCCATTGTCAATCAAGAATGTTTTGGTTAAGAAATGTAACGGCAAATGATCGTTTTTTATCGTTTGCTCATTAATTTGTTGTTTTTGCAAGCGTTAGCTTTTTGCAGACACGTGTTTTTTGTTTTTTTTTTTTGGCACAAATTTGACATTGATTTTAGTTTGTTTCTGGAAGCGTGGTGCGTCGGTTGAATCGTTGTGCGTGGCGATAAATTGCAAACAAAAGTAAAAGATTTGAAGGTAAAAGGAATAACTTATAAAAATAAAAATGGAATGTAGTTCGCGTCATAAAAGAGGCTTTTAAAAGCTGAAAAAGAAGATTTTTTAAAAGACTATTTAATTCCAGTGTTGAGTGTGAACAAATTGAAGTAGAAAAAAATGTCGAAGCAGATTCTGCAATAGTTGATATAGAAGAGACAGAAAATGATTATTACAATGCAAATGAAGAATTTGACAAAAGAAACGACTTTATAAGTGCTTTAGGGCAATGACAGTTAAATAGCCGGACATCCAACCAGAACATGAGAGAACTGCTAATAATTTTAAAAGGTTATGGTGTGGATGTGCCTCTATCTCCAATGACACTGGTGCGAAAAGTTAGTTCAAGGGCAGATATAATTTCTGTTCCTTCTGGTGAATATGCACATTTCGGCCTGAAACAAAATTTAATGAAAGCTGCACAAGTTTTACAAAAACATGAAGAAATAATTTGCGACATTAATATTGATGGTTTACCTATCTTTAAAAGCTCAAATCATCAACTTTGGCCAATATTAATTAAAGTTATTAATATTAGAAATATAAAGGTGTTTCCTGTTGGTATTTATAAGGGCAAACAGAAACCTCATTATATAAGTCAGTTCCTAGAAAAACTCGTTGAAGAAATTTGCGATTTACAGGAAAATCACTTGTTTATTGGTGGCAAAAAAATTATTTTTAAAATAAGAGCTGTGATTTGTGATGCTCCCGCAAAATCATTCGTTTGTGGGATAGCTCACCATTCATCTGCAAATGGTTGTTCAAAATGTACCCAAGTGGCCATAAAAATATGCAATGTTTTAACTTATAGCTCAGAAGTAGGTACAATTATAGACGATGATGACTTTGCTAAAAGGAAATATAAAAATCATCACCAATTAAAATTTATTGATAGCAAAACACCATTGGAGAAAATAAATTTAAATATGATAAGTCAAGTTCCTTTAGACCCAATGCACGTTATTGATTTAGGGGTAACTAGGAAAATGTTGATGAAACTAGTAAAAAATAAAGTAAATGAAAAAATTTCAATTTCGAATAAGGGAAATATATCTAAATTACTAGTTTCATTAAAAAAGTGTATTACTAAAGACTTCACAAGAATGCCTCGTAGTTTGGATGAACTTGCGAACTGGAAAGCTACAGAATTTCGTCAATTCTTACTATACACTGGTGTTTTAGTCTTAAAAAACAATGTTGGTGATGATTTTTATTACACGTTTTTAGTTTTTTAAGAAATGTCTTGCAAAATTTAATAGAAGAGCCAAAAACATTGTGGTTAAAAGAAAAATATGGACTTATTTATGGTTACTTGGGTGATGAATACTGGTTGAGCATTAAAACACCAGATAACATTTGTCTTGTAATGCCATTTACCCCTTTACAAATTACAGGCTTCAAACGAGGAGAAAATAATAATTTTTTTTTAAAGCGCGACGTTTCAAAAATATTTGTCCTTTTTTTGAAGAGCCATTGGACTCATTATCAGCATTAGGTATATGTATTGCTGATAAGATATTAGAAGATAGTGAGGAAATATTAAATATTGAAAATATTATTTGCAAACTAATATCATTTCCCTTTCAAAATAAAGTGGTTTTAATGCCAATTCTTCATAGTTGCATTTAATGTTGCAAAAATTAAAAAACGTCTCATTTATTTAATATAGCCAACACTTTTAATCTACGCAATTCTAACTGATATTATCTTCGTAATTCGACAATATTTAAAATGGAAGGCAGAAATCTTAAACATCTAAATGCTTGCAACGGACTTTCTAATTGTAAGTAAATTCATAACATACATTTTTAAATTTTCTAAAGCCATATTACTATGTTTTTCAGACAGTGCCAAACAAACGCCATGCTCTTCGTGCATAAAACTTAATGGTAGTTTTTGTTAAATATGGAGTTTCGTCTTTATTAACAACATTGTTTAATTTATAGAAATGATGGCTTAAGAAAAAAATTACAGCAACAGCTCTCAAAATTACAAAGTAAGTATAATGTTTTTTTCGTCATTGTTAATTTTTATTATATAGTTCTTTCTTTTATAGCAACAACAGAACAGCAAAACAAAATAATAGTGGAAATGTTAGCAGAGCACAAATTACAGCTGCAAACCCTCAATAAGTCCCAGAAAAATGTTACTTCCCTGTCAAGCAAATTTTCCCTCAAATCCGAAGAAGATCTCCAAAAAGTTGAGAGTGAAATATGCGATTCGAATGAAGAAAAATATGTAAGTAATCTTTGCCCTATATTGTATATATGTTGAAATGCCTTCAATTTTTAAATTATATACTTTTTCAATATTTTTTTATTTCTAGATATCTGCTGTAAAGTATTTAATCGATGGCAGCGCAATAAAAAATTTGGAACGCATTTTTTCCCGGGAGATTTGCGTAATGTACAGTACGGATGGTATTTGTGGGAAAAAATGTTAGAAGGATTTTAAAAGAATATATAAAATTGTTATTGGTAAGTATTCTGATTCTAAACATTATTTAATTTTAATGAATGTCTTTATTTTAGCTGCAATAAGTGACTACTCCCCCAATAGCGAAAAAGAATTTCGAGCAGCACTCCAAGTTGTGAAAAAAAGGCACTTCCGAGTTGTTTGTGCCCAAAACAAAAACAAAAATTAATTATATACTTCTTTTATACTTTTTTATATACTTTTTATTTACATGATAGTGAATTTGAATATAACTTAAGTTTTTTTAATGAATTTATCTTATTTATCTCACTAAAGACTTTCAATGTACCCGCAAAATGAAATATTTATTTTTTTGTTTTATACAATAAAACACTAATACTTATAGTACATTACTTATGTTGTATTATTTCCTGTTTTTCTCTGAGTGTATATATCGTTAAACCTGTTGTACTTACGTAGCTGTTCATCCTTATTATGATAATTATTTATAATTCTAATAATTAATACATTATAATAATCTATAAATTATTATTTATCATAATAAGCTTAACGTGCTAAATAAGACTAACAGTATTAAAAATATACACACTCAGAGAAAAGCGCAAAATTAATAGACCACTTAATTGATTGGTTTCAAAACTAGCCCTCTGGGGTACTCTATGGACTAGTTACACGGATTAGTTTTAAGATCAACCGTATGTGGTGTACCATAGAGTAATGACGTGGATTAGTTTTGAAACTACTTTGATGTAATGCAAACAGGGTTACATGGTCCGGCCCTAAATCGGTTAGGTTTTTTCAATGCATTTGGATTAGTTTTGGACTACTCCTGGTCTGTTATGGACTACTTTTTACACGCGTGTATGGGTTAGGCGCATTATTTGCAGGTTGCTTATGTATTGCAATAAACACTTTTTGCTTGTATTTTTTTCACGTATAACACAACAAAGAGCGGGTATTAAGGGTGTAATATTCTTGAAGAGAATTATTACACGAAATAAAAAACGGCACTGTTGGAATTGTATGAACAAAACGAATTACCGACGGACGGACACTTGTAAAAACGACCGTAGTTAAGCACTTTGTTCGTTGTTTTTGTAATTTAATTTTTATTTCAAAACGAAACACTCGCGGTTTATGCTCACTAAATAGACGGGACGTACCTTTTTAGTGATGTAGTGATGAATTTATATAAATAAATTAGTGGATAGGCTGCGAGTGTAGGATGGTAGGTACTGGCAACTAATGTTTTTTGACGAAGTCAAACCTTTTTTTTTTAAAGGGAAAGAAAAAGCAGATTAGTTTCTTTGTTGCTGGAAGCACGTATCTCGGCTCGAAGAGACCAAAATGTTACGGAGCAGCTAAAATAAATAAAAAAGGAAATAAAACACAGTGAATTAGAATTTTTAAATAATAAAAATTGTCGGTTTTATTGAAAATTAGTCGAAGAACTAATATTATATACCTTTTTAACAATGGGTGTTGCTCGATGTTCTTGGACGAAAATCCGAAAAACAAGTAAGCTAAAAAGTAGCGAGCAAGCCTAGATGTCACAAGAGAGGCGCGAATTGATTTGTCATCACTAACTTTGAACGAAAGTTCAAAGTTGAATAAAATGGTATTTGACAAATTGAAGAAAAAGAGCAAAGGGTTGTATTTTAAATAAACTAAATTAAATTGTAGTTAAACAAACTTTATCCGATGGTTCTCATAAATTCAAAACACTTTTGGTGGCTAAAGGATTTTGTCAAAAATATGATCAATATTATAAGTATTATTATCAGTTGTGAAGCAATCTGCATTTAGAACACTATTGGCTGTAATATCTTACAAAGGTTTGATTTTTCAACACATTGATGTAAAGCCGCATTTTTAAATGGGAAATAAAATAATTTAGCAATAACATATATGAATTTATTTTTTAATGTAGAGAAAGGTAGATATACACAACACTTGAATTGCGTAATCTTGATATGCTTACAATTTCTTGCAATCTATCAAGAATATTTATTTTTACATGCTATTTATACAACTTAAATACAATTTAAACTAGCATTAAATGTAAAGTAAACAATACATTTCTTCTGCCAATAACCCATGCCTGCTTAAAGTAAACAATTAAATTATTTAGGTCAGTTCTTTGCTGATATATGAGGAAACTATTCAATAATAAAAAAGTAAAAATATTTATGAAAAATTATATTCTTTTAAATATTCTCCCAACGTTGAACGGAAATCGTTGAAGAAACTGTCTGGTCAATAACGTATGATGACGATACTGACTTCCGGGTTATAGGTGTTGGGTTGATGTTTTTGGAAGTTTTGTAGTGGCGAAACTTCACTGTGACGTATATGGCTACTCCAATTCCAACACAAAGAGCTAGATAACTGATGGTATGATGGTGAATGGCTGTCGACTTTTTTAGTTGAGGAAGGCTTCCGATTTCAATGGTTTTTAGCTGCTGGTGTAAGGTAACGAGGTCAGCAGCGTGAAATCCAGTGGCTTAAGTCTCATATATGACGTATGCATTGTTTTATTTTCGTAATGACCTATATTGTAAAGGTGTTTTCCTTTAACATAAAATCGGGTCTAGTCTTAAAAGTTCCAGCCCCTTGAACCTCCAGTTGTGTCATTTTTTGTACACCTGTATTGGCTAAAGTAAACATTTATGGATTGTTTTGTTTCATTTATCTCCAAGTTTGGTGATGGTTGACTCCAAGTCACAAGCATTCATGTGACCGATCAATCTTGGGGTAAGTAGCAATGGACTTATACGATCATGATGAGCATCCGTTAACACATCGATTATGTTGCCCTCTATGTGTTTCAACATTGTCGAAAGTAGCATAAGCTACGAAATGAGGAAAATAATTGATTGTGTTGTATTTGCAATATCTTCCTCCTTCTTCACCTTACTTGCCAGCCAGTTCATTTCTACTTCTATGTTGGCGAATGTTCTACGACTCATATCTTTATCCTTTCTGATTATGTTGATTGTTGAATCATTTATATATGTCTGATTCCTTAGCAGCTCCAACAGATGTTGCCTGCCTTCATTTGCCTTCTCAATTGTGACAATCATTTATTCCGCATATTCTCAGTCTAAGATACCAAATAACTAGTGTGCGAGGTTTCCTACTATGTTAAGAGCTCCACGTCTCCTGCGCCTTTGAAATGTAGTCAGTGTACCAGATTCTTACTGCTTCTGTACTTGAATGAGTCTTTTGAAATTTCTGAAATTTTCCTACAGTTTTTATTCTCAACAGCTACCTCGCACAGCTCCTGAAGTGTTCTTATCCCTGTAGAAAAATCATTCATATCTGCCCAAATCGGGGAAAGATCATAATAAGTGATAAATTTCCATTCGGCTGTCGCTACCTTTGTCACTCCAAATCCATAAAAATACATGCACAAGCATAATGGTAGAAATATTAAAGCCACACGCATTATCGATATTAGCATGCTGCTTAACGACTTGAATCGCTTTGACGATGGCCCTTCACTACTACTCTCCCTATGTGTAAGAGTTAGAGATTATTTTTCATTTTCGAATAAATGAGCTAATCTGTTTATGGTTCTTTTACCTCCTACGTTTGACGTAGGACACGTCAACAAACGAACGGCTCCATCGTCACCCTTGTATGTTCGGGTTATTGCCTAGGGGCCACGGCATTATCAGGCTCAACGTTGGCTGATGGTGCACTCCATTTCCTTCTTTCTTGAAGAGTACTTAGGTATTCCGTAGACCAACGTATCCGGAACTCATGTCTGATCTGCGATTCGCTGTTGGATCAACCGGCGCCGTTAAAGGCTCTCCCACAAGAAAATGATCAGGAGTTAATGCTGCTAGATCATTTGGATAATTAGAAATATGAGTCAGCCTCTATTTCGATAACAATTGTTTCCAACTCTTCGTGGGTTAATGACGCACTACTTGTGGACGAATCAGTAGTTGCTTCGCTGACTTCACTGCAGCTTCTCATAAGCCATGTCTCAACTATTTGCTTTCTGCTATTCTCTCCAAGTATTGTTTGATTCAATACATCGATCTGATTTTTGGCTCCGTCAAAGTTTGTCACGTTGTCTGGAATCAAGGTTTGACATTTCCCTCGACGAGCTATTAATCTTTTCAACGCGCCAATGAATACGTCCGTTGTCAGGTCTGTAACTATTTGCAAATACACAGCCTTGTGTTGCTCTCTTCCCTCGTATTTTGTAGTGGACCCATAACGGACCGCAATAGTCAATGTTGGACATAATAAATGGCTTTGCAGACGTGACTCTGTTAGATTTTCCATAATTTGATTATATAACTTCGGCTTTGCTCGGGTGCACCTTACGCAATCCGTGCCATAACCTTTCACTTGATTATCCAATATTTCTGTCTTTTCGGTTCGTAGCAATTCGTAGCAATTGTGAGCAACAGTGCTTCTTTTCCAAATGATTCATGCCAGGGATGAGTTTTACATTTGGGTCGTTGTATGCCTCGTCCAACCTGCCACCGACTCTAAGTATTCCTCTGTCATCAAGAAACGAAGTAAAGTAGTATATAGAACTTGATTTGTCTAATGCTCCATGTTTCTTCAACTGCTGTATTTCTTTCGCGAAGTCCGATACCTGGATTGTTTTCAGGACAATACTTCTGTCGAGATTCCATGATTGCGCCTTTTTATCCTTTCGGCAAATCGACAATTCTTTGCACTCGACTAAATGAACCCTTGTGGTTGATTCCATAGATGATATCATGTAACCTACACTTTGAACTAATTGCTGATATTGCAGATTTCGTTTTAAATTAAAGATCAGTTCGGGTTTCTCATTCTTTGGGAAAGGTTCCGGTCGGAGAGATTCATTTCCGTGTAGAAATATGGGCCCATAAAACCACATCGTACATCTTGATAGGCGATCCAGTTTCATGCCTCTGGATATGAAATCTTCTGGATTATACTTTGTCTCCACATGTCGCCCTTGATTGCATAACGCTCTGCCTTGTATGGTTTTAACCTTGTTGGCAACTACCGTCTTCAGTGTTGACGGTTCGGAATTGATCCAGTGCAATGGAATCTTTGAATTTGATCAATAAATAGTCCTTAGATCTTCGTAACCCGATTCGGTCTTTACTTTATTAGTAAGCTTTGCTCCCAATTCAGCGGCACAAAGATCTAACCGTGGCAAAGCGATCGCTTTTATTGGTGCTATTTTTGATTTTGAACAAAGGAGTCTGACTATATGCCTTCCATCTGACAGCATAGCCCGAAGATACATCACAGCTCGTATGCCTTTTCTGAGGCGTTCACAAATGTATGTATCTCAATTTTTGACGGTTCCTCTCCATCGAACATGTGTCGGGGTTATTTGAAATCATTTAATATTTTCAGGCTTTCTCGGAAC